CAACTGAGAAATTAATGCCAAAGATTTTTAAATGATTTTTACATGTATTTATTATGTATTTCACATAAATGATGACAATGATTTCTGTGGAATAAACAAACAGGGAGGATCTACTGTGTATCACTCCCACACTGAGGGTCAAGCCACTACATATTTACCGAGAACACAATAGCACAAATAGGAAACACTTTTTCTATCTGATGCCCAAAACCAATCACGAAAATAGCAAAACCATATATATGTATATATGGGATTAAAATTTAGTTTATATATTATAAAAATAAATTATATTCATCTACCTTTTAATGCCATGAGTGTGTCTTACAGCTTTATTGAGGTATCATTGACATAAAAAGTGTACAATTTGATGGATTTTGACATATGTATATACACCTATGAAACTAACGCAGCCAAGATAACGAACATATTCATCACCTCCAAAACTTTTCTTGCACCCATTTGTAATCTCTCATTACCATATCTTCCACCTAGGCTCAGACTCCAGGCCAACATGATCTGTTTTTTGGCACTATGGATTAATATGTATTTTCCAGAATTTAATATAAATCCAGTCATAGAGCATGTAGTCGTTTTTGTCTGACTTCTTTTATTCAGAATAATTATTTTGAGATCCATCTATGTTGTTGCATGTGTCAATAGTTCATTCTTTTGCATTGCTGAATATCGTTCCACTGTAGGGATGTATCCCAATTCGTTTGCTCATTTATAGCTCTTACAACTAAAGTTGTTATGAATATTTGTGACTAAGTCTTTGTGTGGGCACATGCTTTCATTTCTCCTGGGTAAGTAATCTGGACTGGAACAGCTAAGTTGTGTGTTCCACAGAGGCTTATCTTTTTTAAGAAACTGTCAAACTGTTTTCCAAAGCGATTTTACTGTCTCACCATTCCCATGGGCATTACATGAGTTCTGATTGATCCACGGCCTTACCGATATGTGGAATGGTCAGTCTTTTACATTTTAACCATATTAGTAAGTGCGTAGTGGCATCTCATCATGAGTAGAATTTGCATTTCACTAATGACTAATGATACTGAGTATCCTTTCACCTGCTTATTATTTGCCAGTCATGTATTTTCCTTTCTTGTTTTATTGAGGTTCAACAGCAGATTTTACTTTTTATTTCTAAAAACTTAAAGTCTAACTCAAGTAAAATAAGCTGTACATATTTAAAGTATGCAATCTAATTTATTTTATTTGATAGATAAAAATTGTATGTATTTATTGTGTATAATGTGATGTTTAAATATATATATATGTTGTGGAATGACTAAATCTAGCTAATTAACATATGCATTACCTCATCACATTATTATTTTTGTAGTGAGAAAACAAAATTGCCTCTCAGCATTTTTCAATAATATATGGTTTTTATTTTATTTTATTTTATTTATTTTTTTGAGACAGAGTCTCACTCTGTCACCCAGGCTGGAGTGCCGTGGCACCATTTCAGCTCTTTGCAACCTCCATCCTGCGTTCAAGTGATTCTCCTGCCTCAGCCTCCTGAGTAGCTGGGATTACAGGTGCCCACCACCATGCCCAGCTAATTTTTGTATTTTGTGATTTTTATATTTGTAGAGACAGAGTTCGACCATGTTGGCCAGGCTGGTCTTCAATTCCAGACCTCAGGAGATCTGCCCACTTTGGCCTCCCAAAGTGCTGGGATTGCAGGCCTGAGCCACCGTGCCCCATCTAAGCATATAATATATGGTTATTAACTGTAGTCACAATGTTGTACAACAAATCTCTTGTCTAGCCGAAATTTTGTATCCTTTGACCAATATCTCCCCAGTCCTCCCTTTCCCATGGCCAGTGCCTGAGAACCACCATTCTATTCTTTAGTTTAATGAGATCAACTTTTTTTAAATGCCACATATGAGACTATGTGGTTGTTTTTCTTTCTGGGCCTGGCTTATTTCACTTTGGATAATGCCCTCCAGATTCATCCATGTAGTTGCAGTAACAGGATTTTATTTTTCTATGGCTGAATAATATTCCATTGTGTGTGTGTCTGTGTGTATGTGTATGCGTAATTTTCTTCATTCATCTATTAATCAACTTAGGTTGATTCCATGTCTTTGCTATTATGACTAATGCTGCAATAAAAGCAGGAGTGCAGCTATTTCTTCAACATATTAGATTTGTTTCCATTGAATATACACGCAGTAGTGGGGTTATATAATAATTCTATTTTTAATTTTTTGAGGAACCTCCATACCATACTGTTTTCCATATGGCTATACTAATTCACATTCCCATCAGCATTGCACAAGGGTTACCCTTTCTCCATATCCTTTGTCTTTTTGATAATAGCCATTCTAACGGATCTGTAATGACAGCTCATTATGGTTTTGATTTGCATTTCTCTAATGATTAGTGATGGTAAGCATTTTTTCAGAAACCTATTGGCCATTTGCATGTCTTCTTTTGAAAACTGTCTATTCAAATTCTTTGTTAATTTTTAAATACAGTTATTTGTGTTCTTGCTATTGAGTTGTATGAGTTGCTTATATATTTTGGGTATATACCCCTTATCAGATGTATGGCATGCAAATATTTTCTCCTACTATGTGGGTTGTCTCTGTTTCTGCTTTTTTTTTTTTTCGAGATGGAGCCTTGCTCTGTTTCCCAGGCTGCAGTGCAGTGGTGCAACCTTGGCTCACTGCAACCTCCGCCTCCCAGGTTCAAACGATTCTGCACCTCAGTCTCCCAAAGTGCTGGGATTACAGGTATGGGTCACTGTGCCCTGCACTGTGGGTTGTCTCTTTGCTTTGTTGTTTTCTTTGCTGTGCAGAAGCTTTTAAGGTTGATACAATCCTATTTGTCTATTATTCGCCTTTGTTGTCTGTGCTTTAGGCATGATAGCCAAAAATCATAGGTCAGACTAATGTTGCGGAGCTATTCTCCGATGGTTTCTTCCAGTAGTTTTACAGCTCCAGGACTTACATTTAAGTCTTAATGCGTTTTCAGTTGATTTTCACATATGGTATGAAATAAGGATCCAATTTTTATTTTTCTGCCAGTTTTTCCTGAAGAGTTTATTGAAGAGGCTGTTCTTTTCCCATTGCGTGTTCTTGATCCCGTTCTCAAAAATCAACTGACAGTAAATGCATGGGCATATTTTCATTGATGAGGTGTCTGCTCAAATATTTTGCACATTTTAAAATTAGATTATTTTATTATTATGAGTTGTGATAATTCTTTACATGTTTTGGATGTGAGTCCCTTATGAGATAGCTGATTTGCAGTATCTTTTTCCAGTTTGTGACTTGTATTTTCCTTCTTTTAATGGTATATTTCAAAGGCCAGAGATTCTCAATTTTAATGAAGCCCATTTTATCAGTTTTGCCTCCTGTGGATCACGGTTTTGGAGTTGTATCTAATAAGTAATCTGCCTACTTTGGGGTTGATTGACTATTTTTTATGTTTCCAAATTATCTCTTGTGAGGACTTGCTAGCTATAACTCCTTGAGTTTTAGTAGTTTACTTAGTATTTATATTATACATGTTTAACTTATAGTCCATATTTGAGAAACGTTATGCCACTTCACCTGTAGCATCAGAACCTTATAATAACATCCTTTCATTTCTCTCACACTTCACCTAAGCCTTTGTGCCATTATTGTCATGCATTTTTCCTTCTATGTATTTTAAAACTAAGAGAAAATATTAGTGGCTGGGTGCGGTGGCTCACGCCTGTAATCCCAACACTTTAAGAGGCCAAGGCAGGCAGATGGCTTGAGTTCAGGAGTTTGAGACCCTCCTGGGCAATGTGGCAAAACCCCATTTCTACAAAAAAAAATGCAAAAAAACTAGCAGAGTGTGGTGTTGTGCTCTGTAGTTCCAGCTACTCATGAGGCCGAGGTGGGAGAATCGGTTGAGCCCAGGAAGGTCAAGGCTGCACTGAGCTATGATCATGCCACTGCACTCCCCACTTGGGTAACAGAGTGAGACCCTGTTTCACACACTAAATAAATTAATTCAATTAAATAAATAAAACTAGAGAGAAGTATCAAGACTATGGAAGTTGTAGACAGACCTTCTTTCCTTATTCTCGTTCCTAGAGCAGAGACTTTCAACATCAGAATAAGAGTTCCCATTTCAAGACCCTGTTTTTTTTTTTTTGTTTGTTTGTTTTGTTTTGTTTTGTTTTGTTTTGTTCTTTCCAAATTCCCACAAATGGAAGGGCCTGAAAATGATTAGTGCTATGGTTTGAATGACTCCTTTGAAACTCATGTTGGAATTTAATTGTTGTTGTAATAGTATTAAGAGGTGGGACATTTAAGAGGTGATTAATACTGTTATTTCTCATGAGTGAGTTAGTTATTGAGAAAGTAGGTTCCTGATAAAAAGATAAGTTTGGTCCCCATCCTGTCTCTTTGTGTCTCACCCATGCGATGCCCCTGCACCATATTACAACATAGCAAGAACACCCTCACCAGATGCAGCTCTTCCACCTTGAATTTTCCAGCCTCCAGAACTATGAGCCAAATAAACTTATATTATTTATAATTTACCCAGTCTGTGGTAGTCTATTATAGTGACAAAAAGTGAATTAAGACAGTTTCTTTTGGCCAGATGCAGTGGCTCATGCCTGTAATCCAAGCACTTTGGAGACTGAGGCGGGTGGATCACATGAGGTCAGAAGTTCAAGATCAGCCTAGCAAATATGGTGAAACCCTGTCTCTACTAAAAATACAGAGATTAGCTGAGCATGGTGGTGCATGCCTGTAGTCCCAGCTACTCAGGTGGCTGAGGCAGGAGAACCGCTTGGACCCAGGAGGCGGAGGTTGAGGTGAGCCAACATTGCACCACTGCACTCCAGCCTGGGTGACAGAGTGAGACGCAGTCTCAAAAAAAAAAAAAAAAGTTTCTTTTTAGGATTGAAGATGAACAAAGGTATCACATATGAAATATAATGATAGATGTTACTTGGATTTGCATAGAACATTATGATTTACATAGTCATTTTTCCACAGGTTCAAAAATACTGTCTACACATACCGAATCTTCAGAGAGAGACATGGGTATTACAAGATACAGGTAAGAACAAAAAAGGACTGTAACAACAACAGCCAAAGGCTGAGGAAGAAGAACCTGGGAATGTGTCTTCTACCTGAGCCATGACTACGTGAAAGCATTCTAAAACAGAAAGCACAATGCAGAGATGAGAGTCAGATCAAGAGTTAACCTGGTTTTCCCCTAAGAGAAATAAAAAGATTCTAGGCTTGGGTTCTACTTTTGAATAACCCCCACTGTTATTCCACTGTGGCTCCTCCAGTGGTCAATTGCACCAACCTGGACTCCAAGCAAAACCTCTGTTGAATTAGAAGACTCAACAGTGATGCAGGATGGAACCAGAAAGAGACAGAGTCTCACTCTATCACCAAGGCTGGAGTGCAGTGGCACCATCTCAGCTTCCTGCAACCTCTATCCTTGTTTGAGCAATTCTCCTACCTCAGCCTCCTGAGTAGCTGGGATTACAGGTGCCTGCCACCATATTTTCTGTATTTTTAGTAGACACAGGGTTTTACCATGTTGGCCAGGCTTGTATCAAACTCAAGTGATCCACCCACCTCAGCCTCCCAAAGTGCTAGGATTACAGGCGTGAGCCATCGTGCCCAGCCAGAAAATTCTTTTTATTTTAAAATTATTCTTAAAAGGTTATATTAGAAAATAGTACTTGGTGTATAGCCAGTAAACAGAAAACAACTATTTACAACTTAACTGAGTTGTGCTGCCATTCCTACTTTCCATTTATATTAGGACTTTTTTGGTCTCGTTTTCCTCACTTGGAGTTTCTGAATTCCTCCAGTATACAAATTGCATATTTTAAAGACATGTAATCAACCTAAATGCCCATCAATGATAGACTGGATAAAGAAAATGTGGTACATATACACCATGGAATACCAAGTAGCCATAAAAAAGAATGAGATCATGTCCTTTGCAGGGACATGGATGGAGCTGGAGGCCGTTATCTTTAGCAAACTAACACAGGAAGAGAAAACCAAATACTGCATGTTCTCACTTATAAGTGGGAGCTGAGTGATAAGAACACATGGACACACAGATACCTATACACACTGGGGCCTATTGGAGGGTGGAAGGTGGAGGGTTGGAGGAGGGAGAGAATCAGGAAGAATCGCCGATAAATGCTGGGCTTAATATCTGGGTGATGGGGTGATCTATGAGGCAAACCATCATGGCACATGTTTACCTATTGTTTACCTGTATAACAAACCTGCACATCCTGTGCATGTACCCTGAAGCTTAAAATAACATTTGGAAAATCTTTTAAAAATTTCATTTTTGTATTTCCATCAGAAGTCCACTTCTGATCATCCTCTAAGATAGCAAAGCCTCCCAGTAGGGTACAGACATAAGCTCTTAGAGGGGTACCCTTCACAGTGTATCTGCAAGAACTGCCCCAGATAAACTTGCCAAGGATGGGGTTCCCTCGATACTCTGGCCGCATTGAGATCCCTCGAATGCAAATCCTCTTTACTCAGAGTGGCTCGAGTCAGAGGTTGGTCTTAGAAATGAGAGTTTCTCCTTACAAGAGCTCCTGAAAGAAGCACTAAACACAGAAAGGAACACCAAGTACCAGCCACTCCAAAAATTTACCAAATGGTAAAGAGCATCGACACTATGAAGAAACTGCATCAACTAATGGGCAAAACAACCAGCTAGCATCAAAATGGCAGGATCAAATTCACACATAACAATATTAACCTTAAGTGTAAATGGGCTAAATGCTCCAATCAAAAGACGCAGACTGGCAAATTGGATAGAAAGTCAAAACCCATTGGTGTACTGTATCCAAGAAACCCATCTCATGTGCAAGGATACACATAGGTTCAAAATAAAGGGATGGAGGAAGATTTACCAAGTAAATGGAGAGCAAAACAAAAGCAGGAGTTGCAATCCTAGTCTCTGATAAAATAAACTTTAAACCAACAAAGATCAAAAGAGACAAAGAAGGACATTACATAATGATAAAAGGATCAATGCAACAAGAAAAGCTAATGATCCCAAATATATACACACCCAATACAGGAACACCTAGATACATAAAGCAAGTTCTTAAAGACCTACAAAGAGACTTAGACTCCCACACAGTAATGGTGGGAGACTTGATATCACTCCACTGTCAATATTAGACAGATCGACAAGACAGAAAATTAGCAAGGATATCCAGGACTTGAACTCAGATCTGGACCAAGCAAACCTAATAGACATTTACAGAATTCTCCACCCCAAATCCACAGAATATACATTCTGCTCAGCACCACATCACACCTACTCTAAAACTGACCACATAATTGAAATTAAATCACTCCTCAGCAAATGCAAAAGAATGGAAATCGTAACAGTCTCTCAGACCACAGTGCAATCAAATAGAACTCAGGATTAAGAAACTAACTCAGAATTGCACAACTTCCTGGAAACTGAACAACTGGCTCTTGAATGTTGACTGGATAAACAATGAAAGGAAGGCAGAAATAAAGATATTCTTTGAAACCAGTAAGAACGAAGACACAACATACCAGAATCTCTGGGACACATTTAAAGCAGTGTCTAGAGGAAAATTTACAGCAATAAATGCCCACATGAGAAGCAAGGAGAGGTCTAAAATCGATGCCCTATCATCAAAATTGAAAGAGCTAGAGGAGCAAGATCAAAAAACCTCAAAAGCTAGCAGAAGATAAGAAACAACTAAGATCAGAGCAGAACTGAAGAAGATAGACACAAAATAACCCTTCAAAAAATCAATAAATCCAGGAGCTGGTTTTTTGAAAAGATCAACAAAACAGGCCACTAGCCAGATTAATAAAAAAAGAAAGAGAGAATAATCAAATAGATACAATAAAAACGACAAAGAGGATATCAGCACAGATTCCACAGAAATACAAACTACAGTCAGAGATTACTACAACAACTCTATGCACATAAACTGGTAAACCTGGAAGAAATGGATAAATTCCTGGACACTTGAACCCTCCCAAGCCTAAACCAGGAAGAAGTTAAAACCCTGAATAGATCAGTAACGAAGGCTGAAGTTGAGGCAGGAATTAATAGCCTACCAACCAAAAAAAAAGCACAGGTCCAGAGGGGTTCACAGCTGAATTCTACCAGACATACAAAGAGGAGCTGGTATCACCCCTTCTGAAATTATTCCAAACAATCCAAAAAAAGGGAAGCCTTTCCAAATCATTTTATGAGACCAACATCATCCTGATACCAAAACCCAGCAGAGACTCAACAAAAATAGGAAAACTTGAAGCAATATCCATGGTGAATACTGATGCAAAAATCTTCAATAAAATACTGGCAAACCGATTGCAACAGCACATCAAAAATCTTATACATCATGATCAAGTAGGCTTCATCCTGGGGATGCAAGGCTGGTTCAACATATGCAAGTCTATAAATATAATCCACCACATAAACAGAACCAAAGACAAAAACCACATGATTATTTCAATAGATACAGAGAAGGACTTTGACAAAATTCAACAGCCCTTTATGCTAAAAACTCTCAATAAACTAGGTATTGACGGAACGTATCTCAAAATTGTAAAACGGATTTATGACAAACCCACAGCCAATATCATACTGAATGGGCAAAAACGGGAAGCATTCCCTTTGAAATCTGGCACTAGACAAGAATGCCCTCTCTCACCACTATTCAATATAGTATTGGAAGTTCTAGCCAGGGCAATCGGACAAGAAAAAGAAATCAAGGGTATTCGGTTATGAAAGGAGGAAGTCAAATTGTCTCTATTTGCAGAAGACATGATTGTATATTTAGAAGACCCCATTGTTTCAGCCCCAAATCTACTGAAACTGATCAGCAACTTCAGCAAAGTCTCAGGATACAAAATCAACATGCAGAAATCACTAGCATTCCTATACACCAATAACAGACTTAAAAAGAGCCAAATCAAGAATGAACTGCCATTCATGATTGCTACAAGGGGAATAAAATACCTAGGAATACAACTAACAAAGGATGTAAAGGACCTCTTCAAGGAGAACTACAAACCACTACTCAAGGAAATAAGAGAGGATACAAACAGATGGAAAAACATTCCATGCTCATGGTCAGGAAGAATCAATATTGTGAAAATGGCCATACTGCCCAAAGTAATTTATAGATTCAGCACTATCCCCATCAAGCTACCAACGACCTTCTTCACAGAACTGGAAAAAACCACCTTAAAGTTCATATGGAAACAAGAGAGCCCACATAGCCAAGTCAATTCTAAGCAAAAGGAACAAAGTTGGCGGCATCACGCTAACTGACTTCAAACTATACTACAAGGCTGCAATAATCAAAACAACACGGTACTGTTACCAAAACAGAAATATAGACCAATGAAATAGAACAGAGGCCTCAGAGGCAATGCCACACATCAACAACCACCTGATATTTGACAAACCTGACAAAAACAAGCAATGGGAAAATGATTCCCTGTTTAATAAATGGTGTTGGGAAAACTGGCTAGCAATGTGCAGAAAGCAGAAACTGGACCCCTTCCTGACACCTTACACTAAAAGTAACTACAGAGTAAAGACTTAAACATAAGTCCTAACACCATAAAAACCCTAGAAGAAAACCTAGGCAAAACCATTCAGGACATAGGCATAGGCAAGGACTTCATGACTAAAACACCAAAAGCATTGGCAACAAAAGCCAAAATAGACAAATGGGACCTAATCAAACTCCACAGCTTCTGCACAACAAAAGAAACAGTCATTAGAGTGAACTGGCAACCATCAGAACGGGAAAAAATTTTTTGCAATCTACCCATCTGACAAAGGGCTAATATCCAGAATCTACAAATAACTAAAACAGATTTACAAGAAACAAACAAACCCATTCAAAAGTGGGGGAAGGATATGAACAGACACTTTTCAAAAGAAGACATACAGGAGGCCAACAAACATATAAAAAAATGCTCATCATCACTGGTCATTAGAAAAATGCAAATCAAAACCACTTTGAGATACCATCTCATGCCAGTTAGAATGGCGATCATTAAAAAATCTGGAGACAACAGATGCTGGAGAGGATGTGGAGAAATAGGAACACGTTTACACTGTTAGTGATAGTGTAAATTAGTTCAAGCATTGTGGAAGACAGTGTGGCAATTCCTCAAGGACCTAGAAATAGAAATTCCATTTGACCCAGCAATCCCATTACTGGCTATATATCCAAAGGATTATAAATCATTCTATTATAAAGACACATGCACAAGTATGCTCATTGCAACACTGTTTACAGTAGCAAAGACCTGGGACCAACCCAAATGCCCATCAATGTTAGACTGGACATATACACCATGTAGCACATATACATCATGGAATACTATGCAGCCATAAGAAACAATGAGTTCGTGTCTTTTGTAGGGGCATGGATGAATCTGGAAACATCATTCTCAGCAAACTGACACAAGAACAAAAAATCAAACACCACATGTTCTCACTCATAGGCGGTGTTGAACAATGAGAACACATGGACACAGGGAGGGGAGCATCACATACTGGGGTCTATTGGGGGCAACTAGGGGAGAGACAGTGGGGGGTAGGGAGTTGGGGAGGGATAACATGGGGAGAAATGCCAGATATAGGTGACAGGGATGGAGGCAGCAAACCACATTGCCATATATATACCTATGCAACAACCCTGCATGTTCTGCACATGTACCCCAGAACCTAAAGTGCGATAATATAATAATTATATTTATATAATTTCTTTTTTTTCTTTTATAATTATATAATTATATTTATATAATTTCTTTATATAAAGAAATATAAAGAAATATAAATATAAAGAAATATAAAAATATAAAGAAATATAAAAATAATTATATTTATATAATTTCTTTATATAAAGAAATTATATAAATATATAAAGAAATCTTTAAAAACAAAACAGAAATGAGAGTTTCTGTGAACTGGAAGTGGTGTGAGCTCTGGCCACTCACTTTCAGTTCATCAGCTCACAGAGGCAGCCTTGAAAAACCACTGTTTTGAGAAGTGCCACATTTTACACACAATTACATGATAATGTCTAATCTTCTTTCTTGTATTTTTGCAGGCTGCAGAAAATGTTCCAAAACAGGTCTTTCCAAACCTAAAGGAACTGATCTCCAAATATGAAAAACCAAATCAGGGGCTGGTGGTTAGCCTTTTAAAGCCAATAAAGAGAACCAGCCTCAGCTTGAGATGGAGAGAAACGAAATTGGAGTTGGAAACATTTATGGTAAAATCCCTCACACGGGGACCAGAAAGGATTCTTAATTCTATTTCCACCAATTTCTTCCTTTGTAAAACTCAATACAGATAAATGTTCTTTTCTATGACATTCTCTAAAAAGCTTCATCCTACTAAGAGCAATTTCCATTTTGTTGAGAAGTGGTATCCCCTAAGGCTGGCTACATTTGCAGCCAGGAGAGCAAGGGCGGTTCCTGGACAGACAGCTGACTTCAAATTCATTCTGTGAACTTGCGCAGACCATTCAAGTTTGAGAATAAATGGGCAAATGAGCGGGTTTTCAAATGAGAAAATCACTTTAGCCCTTCAATTCCTCCCCAATGCTCATACTGTTACATTTTGCCCAATATTTGCTAAGCATTCATTTATAAAGCGCTGGGTGTCAAATTATGTCAGATACATTTTTAAAGGTATGAAGGCATGGCGGAAAAAGAGATGGTCAGTAAATCTGAGCACAGAGAATCCCTGCCGAGGCCTATCAAATTGTATCACGAGCAGTCATTCTTGCTTACCCACACCCTTGAAATCTGCTCTCAGGAAAGAATTTATTATTTGTCATTTGCAATGTTGTTTGAATTTAACCCAGACTTCCAGAGACACTTAGGGCTTAATCCTATTTTCCCATGTTGGAATGTGTGGTTATATTCTCAGTGAAAGGGACTGCGGTTATCAGTGGCAGGTGATGGGATGAGATGAGATGTCCTCCCTAGGTCGGGGAGCAGAGGACAGAGAGTTCTCGGGAAGCCTGCAATCACTCCATGCCTTTCTACACTGTCCGCAGCAAAGTCACCCTTTAGGCTGCCAGAGCTGGCTTCTCATCTCCCCAGCAAGGCTAAGCATATTGTTTCAATGATTAAAATACAACCTCCTCCCCTACCATTATTTCTCTGTCCCCCACCCCATCCCCATGAAGGGCAGTGTGTACTCGTGGACACACAAAAATCACTTTCTATAGGTCCAGCTCTAGAAATGTAGCCCCACAGCTACTTTCCCCCAAAATTTATAGAATAAAAAGTATAAAATGTGGCAGAGCTAGAAACCCAGGAATGTATCTGTGCTGCAGCCCTTAGGCAAACCCAGGTGAGCTGCTGGGACCAGCTGGGGTGGTGGTAGTATTTGTCTCGACAGTGAGAAAAGAATCACAAATCCCAAGAGACGAACCCTCGGAAATCTTCCCCAAGAACTGGGCATGAATCCCCCTCTACCATCTTTCCATGCCGGGCCAGTGCTGACTTACCAACTTTCCAGGCCGGGTCAGTGCTGACACAGCGAGCTCCAAAATCCTCGGCTACTGAAGAGGAAATCTTCCCCGTCACCCTCTTCTTCCCCTTCCCTTTGCTTCCTTACAACAAGCTTCAGCTGTTCTTACTTCAAGGGAAGCACGGGTGTCTTGCTGGTGAATGGAGACACCTGTGCGGGAAGCTCGGAGGCTTGGCTTATAAAGGGATCCCCTGGCCGGGCGCTCACACCTGTAATCCCAGCACTTTGGGAGGCCGAGGCGGGTGGATCACGAGGTCAAGAGATCGAGACCATCCTGGTCAACATAGTGAAACCCCGTCTCTACTGAAAATACAAAAAATTAGCTGGGCATGGTGGCGCGTGCCCGTAATCTCAGCTACTCGGGAGGCTGAGACAGGAGAATTGCCTAAACCCAGGAGGCGGAGGTTGCGGTGAGCCGAGATGGCGCCATTGCACTCCAGCCTGGGTAACAAGTGCGAAATTCCATCTAAAAAAAAAAGGGGGGGATCCCCTATTTTGTTAGGAGAGCTCCCTGTGGTACCCCAGCCTTTGAAGATATAACTTGGAGGTGGCACCAAGTGGGCTCTGTGCCTGGGGAGGGGTCTTCTTTCTTTTGAGTGGGGTTGTTTGATATGACTTCTGGGTGTGGTCTTATGACTGGTCTTCTGCTTTTTTTCTCTCCAAAGAACAGTAACAGTGATTATGTGGATGTCTTGCCTTCAAGTTAAGGCTGCTGGACAAAGCAAGTTGAAGAGATGGGTGACAGGTCTCACTGGTGACCACTTCTGCAGGCATAGGTCCAAAGCACCAAACTCTAGTGGACAATTAGACTCTCTTGGTCGTGTACCTGAAGATGTTCTGCTCACCAGCATCAGAGGGCACTCTCCCTATCCCTGCCTCCCAGACATGCACCAGAGCAATTTCAAAGCCCTCTCCATTTTCACTCTTCTTTCTTGGAATGGGACAGCTTGAACCTTTTCCCGATGACTTGTTAAAAGTATCACCCTACATCATGGCTGACACCCTCCTTCAGACCATGCAGTCAAAGGAGCAGCTTCATCCAGAAGAGGGCACACTTGCCTGTGAGTTTGAAGCCCTGAACTCCAGTCCTGTGGCTGTGTGACTTTGAACAGGTTTCTTCCCACCTCTAGGTCTTAGTTTCTTTGTCTATGTGTTTCGTGGGATGATAGACACTGCCCCAGGCTCTCTGTTGAGCCTGCTTGTGTCAGGTGATGGTGAGGGATCGGGAGTGATGGAGATGCCTACGGTCAGCACGTTCTCTGTACCTGCTGGACACAAATGTGCACCCTTCTCCCTCCAGCCTGGGCTACTCCCTTCCTGGTTCTTCCTTCTAACCTTAAACCAGCTGGTGAGCATTGCCCTGGCCACACTTTCTCCATGATTTTGCTCAATTCTACTTATGCATCAACCATTTCAACAGCATGAATATGGTTCTGTACAGTGATATAGATGGAGATTTCTAAGATATTCTATGTGTGATTTCTGTTCCCCACTAGGTTCTACGTGCCACGAAAGCATGGTTGGGTCTCCCTTGTGTCCTCTACAGTGTAGAAATTTGTGCTGCTCAGAGCTGTGCCCGGTTTAGAGAAATTGACTGGAAGCACATTGCTGAGGGGGGTTTGTTGAATTGGTTTCTAAGGTTTATTGAAATTGATTTGCTGAATTTTTCTGCTTGTTCAAAATGTGAATTAGGACCTGGTTAGTTTGAAATGTACCAAATTCTATGCCCTTTCTCTTACCCAGCATCAAATTGTAGTAATTCATTTCACCCCATTGGACTTAGCGTCAGAGTTTTTAAAGAGAGGAGCTCTAGACTTACAGGTAATATGAACAGACATTGTGGCTGGAGTCCCAGAGTACGGACCATTGTGAGCTTTGGGGTCATGGCAAGTCACGGCTCCTACTCCTACATGTGTCTAGTAGGCAGGACAAATGCCCTCTTTTACTTTTCAAAACTGACTTAGGTATTCATGGACCTTGATTCCTCCATATACATTTTATAATAAATGCATGAAATTGCTCAAAACCTCATTTTGGAATTTTGAACGAATTTGCAACAAATTTATAAATAGGAGAGAACTGACGTTCTTGTGATTTCTCCCATGCATAAACATGCCACATCCATTTTCTTGGGTCATCTTATTTTGCCCTTTCAGGGAGTCATAAATTTTCAAGACCGAAGCCTTGTATATTCTGTTAGATCAATTCCTAATTATTTTTAGTTGCTGTAAATGCTGTCTTATGTTTTATTACTTTTCTAATAGGCTATGGTGGTAGTGAAATGTTGACCCTCTCATTAGATCTACTAGTTTATCTGTTGATTCTATTGTGCTTTCTGTGTAAATGACTTTTGTCAGCTGTAAATAATATTTTATTCTCTTTCTTTTCAATATCTATGCTCATTTATTTTTTGTGTTTACCCATTGGTTAGGCCCCTGTGTATATTAAACAGTCCATAGTCATGATAGTGAGTATTCTCATGCTGTTTCCAGTATTACAGGGAATGCTTAGAAATTATTTAAGGATGATGCCTTCTTGTAACCTTATTAAAGGCAATTTTATAATTTTTACTAGAAATGTTTTGACATTTTTTGTGATTTTTTTCTGCATCTATTGAGACAGTCACATTCCTTTTGTCTTCACTCCATTATAAAGGTGAGTTATGAAGTTAATAAAATTGTTGATTATCATATCATCCTTGCTTTGTTTAACTTGATCATATTATATTATTTTTCATAAACTGTGGGATTTGGTAAGTTATTATTTCATTTAAGATTTTTGCATTAAAACCCATAAACCAAATAAGACTATAATATACTGAATCATGGTTATACTGTTCATGTAAGGTGAAGAAAAGTCTTTCTCTTTTTAATATTTTCTGCAACAACTTTTTAAGGTAAAGGTTATTTGTCCCAGGCTGGGTGCGGCGGTTCATGCCTGTAATCCAAGCACTTTGGGAGGCTGAGGTCGGGGGATCACTTGAGGTCAGCAGTTTGAGATCAGCCTGGCCAACATGGTGAAACCCCCATCTCTACAAAAATACAAAAACATAGCCAGGTGTGGTGGCACACACCTGTAATCCCAGCTACTCAGGAGGATGAAGTGAGAGAATCACTTGAACCCAGGAGGTAGAGGTTGCAGTGACCCAAGATGGTGCCAGGGCACTTCAGCCTGGGTGGCAGAGACCCTGTATCAAAAAAGAAACAAAAATAAAAATAAACTTATCTGTTCCTTGACATTTTTTAGTACGGTACTTTCTTATAAAACTGAGTTTGAGGCTCTAGTGGAGTGGAGTGGGGGGCATTTTTTATTACTGTGTTAATATTAATACTTATTGATTTGTTAAAATATTTTGCCAATTTTGACATTTTTTGTTTTTCCAGAAATGTATTGATTTTGTCTGTTTTCACAATTATGGGCAGATAGTTCATAGTATTCTTGTATTATTTTAGTGATTTCTTGTGACTATAGCCACATCTCCTTCCGCACTCTGTGTCCTATTTGGATCTTACTCTTTTATATTTATAGATTTTATCTATCTTGTTAGTCTTTTCAAAGCCAGCTTTTGGTTTTGTTAATCTTTTTTGTTACTGTTTTAAAATTGCTATTCTCTGTTTGATTTCCAACTTCATTTCAGGGGGGCTTATCTGACTTGTTTTCAATACTTGTTATTATTATTTTATTTATTTACCAACAGGATGTGCCCAATGTCAATACTTATTATTTTCTAATAAATATAGTTAAAGTTGTGAATTTAACTCAAAGTACTATTTTAGCTGTATCCCATAAATTTTAACACAAATAGTGTTTATTGCTGTTCAGGTCAAAGTACTTTTAATTCTTATAAAAGTATCTTCTTCCATCCAAAAACTGTTTAGAAGTTTGTAACTGTTTTCAAACATACATTTTTAGTTATTTTAGTATAGATTTCAGACTGTATCATGTTAAGATTAAATAACAGCTTGACTTCAGTTTCTGAGGTTTCCTTGCTGACCCGGTATATGTGAACATGCTGTGAATATTTCATCTATTTGAATTGCTCTTTGTATTCATTTTAAACTCATTCTCTTCACCTCTTCCCCTAGAATCATATGTATATCTTGAATCAGATGTATTCAAGATTATAGATTATGTAGAACAAATATTTTTATAGATTTGTATATTTTATCTATCTGATCTATCAGCATCAGAGAAAGAGAAATCTTTCATTTTAATTCTGTGTATAATAATGTTTAGCTTTCTGATTATCATAGTATATTAACTATTTTTGTCATTTTACCATTCTTATTTTAGCTGTTTTAAGTTCATATTTTTACGTGTATATATTTTTATTTTATCTTCATTTGTTTCTTTTATTTTATAAAGTATTTCTCCTTGTCTCTTATTAGTTTTGCCTTTATTTATATTTTACATCATATTAAAATTGCTATCCCAACTTTTATTCATACTTTCCCAGTTTATAATTTTCTGCCCTTTCATTTCCAAGTTTTTTGCACCTTTTATCTCTGCCTTCTGTGGACACAATATTGCTGGATTTTTTTTCCTCCAATTTAAGATTCTTTCTTTTGGTTGGTGAATTCAATACACATGCTTATTATAATTTGTTCTATTGGAATTTATCTCTGCCATCTTATACCATTCTTTCCATTTAGTATTCATTTTTTTCTTTTTTTCTCCTTTTCTGCTTTCCATTGAATAGATCAAATTGACCTCTGTTAACTTGAAAGCTCTATTAAAAAAAAAAAAAAGTTTTAGTGGTTACCCATAACTTACTAGGCCCTGTATTTTTATTTTGCTCTATAATGTTATAAATGTATCAATAGTTATAATTTAGCATACTCTCTCTCATTTCTCTTCTGTCACCATCACCAATCCCATTAGATTTTCTGATATTATCTAAAATTTTAATTGTTATTTACTCTTTTGGGTCCTCTATCATTTAAGTAATGGTATACTTTACTGAGTCAATTACTTATCCTGGTATATTTACAAACACATAGCACTCTCCCAAGTTTCTCTTCTTGCTGGAATATTTTCTGCAAAAGTATTTTGCATATTTGAAATTTGCTAAGAGAGTAGATTTTCAGTGTTCTTATCAAAGATGGTCTTTGAGTCGTAAACATTTTGCAGTCTTTTTAAATTTTTTGATTAATTTAAATAATTCAACTAAATATAGAATTGCAGGTTTAAACTTATTTTCCTTCAGTGATATAAGACATATTAAGTCACTAGCATTTCACACGTAGGTTTCTTACGGAGATGTATAATGTCAATCTGATCCTTCTTCACAGCTGACCTTTTTTTCTGAAAAGTTGAAAGAGGCCTGTCTTCATGATCTTAAATTTCACTGTAATGTGTCTAACAGTGAGTTTTCTCCTTCTCTATCAAATGTGAAACTTTATTTGCCATTTTGTTCTCAGGATTTTAATATTTCTTTACTTTTATCACTATTTAAATGAATAGAATGAATGAATGAAAGAATTCTCATTTTTCAAAGATTTCATCTTCTATTTTTTCCCTCCTACTGGAATTTTTAATCAAGAACTGCCCTTCCTTTTATTTTAAAATATAGAAGTGATATTTGTTAAATAATCTTAGGAAAAATACAAGCCTCTCTAAAATGGAGATAATATTTACCTCATACATTGCTATTAGTTTTGTCATGAAAACCTTCCAGTTACCACAAACTGCAATACCCAATGCCAGCCACAAGAGGTCAGACAGCCATCAAGAAAACCAGTACTGCTGGGGTTTTCTTCCTCTCCTTTCTCTCTTCTTTCTCTCTTTCCCTTCTTCCCCCCATTTCCTTTCCTTTCCTTTTTCCTCTCCTCCCCTCCCCTCCCCTCCCCTCCCTTCCTCTTCTATCCTCTCCTTTCCCTGTCTTTCTCTTCTCTTCTCTTTCTTTATTCTTCTCTTTCTTTTCTTTTCTCTTTGCTTTTCTAGCACTGCTGAGTACCACGGTAGCTGTTAGACCTGATGCATTTCTTTAGCAAATAGTCTCCAAAGAATACTCTCTTACCCACTGAATGCTTAATCTCCAGTGTCGATAACAGGATTAGCGTATAAGCCAGGCTTCCCTGAGTTTGCAATCTGAGATGCAATAGAAGTGCTCTTGCCACTCCTACTTCAGGGTAAAATTCTTGCAATTTAGAGTAGGCTCTTATCAACACCTTTAAGAAAGAATGTTTTCAGGAATGTTTTCAAATTGTTAGCTTTGCCACTTACTGATCAGAGTGACTATGGGCAAATTGCTAAGACTCCCTGAGCCTCTGGTCAGCCTCATCTGGAAAATGAGGATAATGACTCACGACACAAAGTTACTGTGGGGCTTCACTGAGACCAGGTCACCATGTTAATAATGCAGTCTCTGTTGGTTCCTCTTGTGCAAAATGAGGGGACTGTGAAATGGGTCTTTAAATTCCCATCCCTTATGCATACACAGTGTTTAATGAAATTGTATTGAGCTTGGAGAAGATCTAACTCAAAAAGATGTTTCTGAGCCATGAACGTTTTCTGGAATTATTTATCAGACTGGCGTGATGGAGACGGAGAAGAGCTGTGCAGTGGGGGCAGGTGGCTGTTTCTCAGGCCCGAAGACCTAGGCCTTCCCAGCTCGTTCTGCCTCTCAGCTCTAAGACCCAGGAAGTTGGCTTTGTCAGCATCCCAGCCTCAGTTTACCTGCTCCTTAGATGAGGCTGAAATACCTCCCTCACAAAAGACAGGATTCATGAGACAGTGTGTGTGAATCTCTTTAAGCACAATGGAATAACATCCACATCTGGAAAATGGGCTTAGTAAAACACTATCAGAAAAACAAATGAGACCATTTGTATAAATAGATTAACACAATTCCTGGGGTATCTAGAAGCTTCAGAGAATGATAAAGCACTAATTAATAGTCAAGCCTAACACAGTGAAGTAGAATGTGAAGAATTGGAACTCAGAGCCCTGTAAGCCGCTCCCAGAGGTAGACAGGGGCCTGGCACAGAAGCACAACCCTTCTTGCGTGATGCTGGATATAAGTGCCTGCTTCTACCAGCTCTACGGCAAGGTGGCACCTGTCCAAGGAACCGAGTTAATGAAGGTTCCGGCTGCAGATAAATGAGCCTCACACTGGCCCATGGCCACCTTCAATCCTTCTCTGCGGAGTTGATGACCACATACAGAGGCTGCCTGTATGGAAGAGGGACTGAAAGAGGTCCTGCTGGTCTACCCCAGAGCCCATCTAGTCTGTTCCACACAAATCCAACGGCAAGTTTCCTGAGTTTAGTTCCATTCAAAGAGCATCTTTATCGAGCATCTTTACCTGCCCCTGAGCTCAGGGACCTGTAGGACAGAGACAGGAGGAGGAAGCACTTCCTATGGCACACGGCAAGTGCCATGATGGAGGAACTCATAGAATGCTATGGGAGCACAGAGGAGGCGTGGGGTGGTGTCAGGAAGCCACCTCGGAGGAAGGGATGCTTGAGTGGAAATGGGAAGGATGAATTAACATAGCCCGGTAAAGTCAAAGCAAAGGGAAAGGAAGATGGACCACCCTAAACACAGGCATGGAAGCAATTCGGAGCAGGTTGAGGCTCCCGGGGAACTGCAGCAGAGAAGCAGCAGTGGCGGATGTCACCTCGAGGCAGGCAGGTGGCCACAGATAATCGAGAGCACAAAGAACTCACCTGACACCTCCCCCACATGCGTCTCAGCAAGTCTCCTGGCCTGGTCACAGTATGTGCCACCTACATAGTTGCTGACTGATGATTGACGGGGTGGGGTGGGGTAGGGAGAGGCATGGGCAAGGGTCCTACCCCCTCATTCCCCTCCAGCTTTCTTACACGTGAAATCACTTTCTAGATGGCTGACACGGCCTTTCCAGGAGGCCCAGCTCCTAGATATGTCACACGCTGGCCAGGTCTAAAGAGTACTTACCAGGTCAGCTGCAAAGACTTCCTGACACATTAGACCCAGGATTCAAGTTGAGCAAGGGAGGTTGGCTGCAACAGAATTTAGCAGGTACCAGGACATTGTGAGAAGCAAAAACAACAGGAGCAGTCCACACGTGTCCTGAGCTTTCCTTTCCAGCAAGGAGGCCCATCCATTGCAGGCTCAGGATAAAGAGGGGGCATGCGTCTTGCTGAAGCTGCAAAGCCTTCCCAGGACTGACAGTTCACTTTTCTCCTGCCTCTTTGACTTGCCCGTGAAGGCCTGAACCAACCCAAAGCGCTCCTGTGAGCACCACAGGGGGATTGTTCTAAGCTGCTGTGAGTTAGCCCCTGCAGCGGGCTGAACCCTCAGATGTGCTTGAACATCAGACCAAGCCAACAGGAATTCCACAATAAACACAAGCCTAGAAAGCAGGTGACGGCTGACATGGAGGGATGATTCAGGAAGGCGGTGGCTAAGCAGATGGCGCTGGAAACAGCTGGCTGGCTAAACATGGTGAAAAAGAAAAAAGTTGCAGTTTGTTGGGAGGTTGCTTTTTGTTTTGGGGTTTTTTTGTTTTGTTTTGGTCAATTTTAAAGAACAAACATTGGCAATGTTCCCCTGCTCTATACAACCAACAGATTCCTCAGGCAACTCGCACGAGGGAGAATACAGCCTGGAGTCTGAGGTGGTCCTTAAAGGTTTCCTCAAGCTTGGGTCCTCATCTGTGTTGTTAATAGCCAAGTGATTTGTTTTGCGGGGTAGCTTCCCCAGGCTCCCTCGGGCTGGAGTATTTATCATGGCAGCAGCTGGAGATAAGCTGGACACAAAGGATTTGTGTCTCAGGAGAGCTGGTCCCTAGAGACGGAAAGTGGAGGAATTTTCTCATTAGGAGGAAGTCAGTGTCGGGGACTCCGGGCTTTCATCCTGTGTCCCCAGTACAAACAGTAGCAGGGAGGGGGCATCCTGGAGGGGAGATGTGCTTGAAGATGCTTTCACTGGACAACTTAAAGCTTCCAGAGGGGATTTCCTTGGGAGAGATGAAAGGTATTAAATGCCATGTGCATTGATGAAGCTTTCGAAGGGGGAGGTAGGAGTCTCGCTACAAGAGCTATATAGACTTAATTACTTGTTCCCACTCACAGAGGGGCCACAGTGGGAGGCTCCAGACTGCATGTCCCAAACCCGAGCGGCGAACTGGGCGACTGAAGGCCAGGGCACTCTGAGGGCCAAAATCTCACAGAAGCCATCATTGAGTTTGCCACCACAGCTAGGCTGGCCTGGGAAACTCCACAGTGTGGGGAGGGGAGAAGAGAGAGGACAGGGAGTCCAAGCACAGAGTTCTAGAACACTACCAGGATTCACTGACCTCAAAGGGATTGTGAAATCTGGGAGCAGATTAAACCAGCCCAGCAGGAATTTTCTGAGATGAGGATAGCGTCTGAGTACATTCCCGGGTCAGCTAATTTCATTAAGTCTGCATACCAGCTGGGGTCCCCGCCAGCTTGGGCAGAGACGTAAGGGATGAAGTGGGTTTTCTGGTGGCCTGTGAGTGTGCTTCCTTCAGCAACTACTACCGGCAGATTTAGTCCAGAGGAAACGAGCACTGTCTCGGCTGAAATTGATTGCCTCACCAGAGCCCTACTTTGGTGATTCCACTGCACGTTCACAGCCTGATCACATACCCTGTTTGCATAGCGCCCGGGAGGGCAGGTATGATGGCGTCCACATCCATTCAGAATGGAGAAAGAGGACCACGTGCCACTTTTCCACCAATGTCAACACTGTGCCCTAGATAGCCCTTAGTGCCCGGCAGGTAGGGGCTTGGATATGTAGCCTCAATAAATGCATCTTTGTCCCCCAGATTCTAGAACTGTGGCTCAGCATAGAGCACAGCATGAAAAAACACGACATACGCACTTCCATTTCTACACTTAAAATTTCCTCAGAAACTTTTTTTTACACTAGAACTGTCTATACTTGATCTTAGATGAAAATAACGACTTTGCATAATAGTGGGAGAGAAAGGCATGTTAAAAGCACATTTCGCACCTGAACGACTGCAGAAACAGCTCTGAAGCTGTTCAGTGGGAGAGGGCGTCTGAAAAGCCACCGCAGCATACTCACAAAGAAAAAAGTTGCTGTTTTAAGTATTTTCAATGCCTTTTCCCATGCGTGGAATGTGGTGGATTGGTTGTGTTTTTCCTGCTTTCCCTGGACAATCAGGACACACCCCACTCCAGAGACAGCGAGCAACCTTTGAGAGCCCAGCTGTTCTCGTCTTGCCCCTCCTCTGAGAAACAAGGTGTGGGAATGCAACAAGATGCAGAAAACATTAGGGACCTAGCCTCATGCCTGAGACGCCTCTGACAGGGAGCCAGGGAGCCCTTACAGGTGGAACTGTGGAATCCAACCCCAGGCACAGTCACAGCTGCACATGAGGCCTGCACAGAAACGTCCCATGTTTCCCTTTGGAAACGTGCGTGACCTCTGTGAACCAAGCCCCTCCTTCCCTTCCTGTTTCTTCCCCACTTCCTTCCTTTTAAGGAGGATAAAGGCCTGGCCAATTCTCATCTGTGTGGGTCCTCTGGGTCCTTGGATCTGACACTGGCCTAGGGGCAGCAATGGGGCAAAGGGACTCCAGGCCAGCTCTTCTCTGAGCCACCTTCTCGCATCAAGAATGTCCCTGTCCAGGGTGGCCCTTGGCGGCAATTTCCCAGGAAGTACGTAAGTCCAAATCACTGACATTTATTGATGACTCTGTTTGAGAAGCGGAGAGCTCTGGTCCGTCTCCAGAAGAAGGTGCCCACACGAATGCAAAGCTCCACCTTTTTCTTGGTGAAAGAGGGCTGTGGACCCAGGTAAAGAATGAGTGGGCTAGAGGGTGATCCGATGGCCATGTCCACTTCCTTCCAAGGAGGGTCCTTCCTGTGCACATCATGATGGTGCCCCTGAAACAGCAATAGGTCAGGTTGGGAGAGGTTCTCTGTCACAGTGGCCAGTCAAGGGAGCCAAGGATGACACATCCTCAGAAGTCATTGCCCACGAAGGATTCAGGCTGGAGGTGTCGGTAGTGCTCATCTTCCTCACATTTCTACCTCCCTCATTTCTCACTTTTCCAGGCTTACAAAGGAAAATGCCAATGCCCACCACCCAGCAAGTCAGCCTCGAGGAAACCAACCACTCCCATCAGTCAGGAGAAAAAACAGACAGAGCCAGCAAACCAAACCAAGTTGTTTTATTGTGCAATTTCCTTCTACCAGAAAATTCTAAAAATATAAATATTAACTCTCTAAAAAATACTCAGAATAGATCTGTAATCTTCCTCCTCCAAACTGGAGCCAATCTTCTTCAAAAGCTGATGGGTTGCATACACGTGTGTCTTCCATATCAGCCACATACACAGCATTCAGATACACTTCCCTCTGTGCAGGGGGATACACCAGCCTCCTGCCAGGTTCTGGAAGCTCGCCTGATAATCTACCAGGATAAAGCTGTGTGCTGAGTAGGGGGTTACTGTGGCGCTGAGGAGTAACAAGGAGATAAAAGACCCTGTGGTCCCAACTTCCTTAGGTGAACATAGAAGACAGGTCCTTTACTCCTCCTCATTACTCTGCCCTCTCATGGACGGGGCTAACTGAGGGCCGAGCTCCCAGAGATGCTGGACTCGCTGTGTGGGATTAGTGGGGGCGTGGCCGCCAGGCTTCAGTCACAGGAAGGCCAGACTGTTGAGATGGATGTGGAAACCAGATGAGGCTTTGGATGGAAGACCTGGTCTGAGCCAAGCCCTCTGCAGAATGAGTAGTAGCTACTCATCCTGCTGAGCTTTGGGGAGCACCTAGTCCCTAGCACCAGGTACTAGCTGCAGCATCTAAGACCAGAAACCCAGTCTCAGAGAGCCTCCCAAGGTAGCAGCATCACTTCTGCAGCAGGCAGACGGGTGGGTTGTAGGCAGTTAGATTGGAGCAGGGTCCCGTGGTGCTGTATTCAGTATCAGACATAAGTCTGAAGAACTCTGGGGTCACCCTGGCAATGGTCCTGGACGTCCTGGTGGGATCCTTTTGCTCATCCTGGGTCTAAGAGTCTGGACTTCAGCAGCAGCTGGGCTTTAAAGTGGAGGCGGGGTACTTAAGAAAGGCTGCACCTGCAATCCCTGAACCCATGGCTGCTATATAACTGGGCCAGAGCCACCCTGGGCTCTAGAAGAGGAGAAGCCCCAGAGAGCAGGGGCTTTCTAAGTTTCCCATCAAAGCACAAACCACGCTCCTGGTATTGGAAGCTCAGATGAAGTGGCTTGCTTCCAGGATGTGTTTAGGGACTCCATCGCTATCCTCAGCTCTGATGTTTTGTGTGATACCGCGCACCATTCTGGGAAAATCACAGGACCCCGAATGCTAGTCCTGAGACCTTCTCTGACTTCAGGGTCAGATATCGCATCCTCGGAGAAAGAATGTTTACATAAGCCCTGCTTACTCCACCAGGGCCTGCAGGTGCCCCCCTGCAGGGACCCTCACGAAGGAGCGGAGACAGCTTGTGGTGAGCACGTGGTGAAGTCTGGCTTTCTGGGAGAAGGAAGGCAATGGAAGGCAAGTGGTGGGAGGGCTGTGGCAAGGCCACACAGATGCAGAAGCAAGAATGCAGGAAGACACCCACATCCTAGCGATCCTGCTGAGGCTACTCGTTCTGTAGGAGTTAGCATGGGCATTTTATATGGCAGTGGTGGTGGGAAGGGGAGTGGAAGCTTGGAGGTAAGAAGAGCTTGGAAGCAAGCCCTGGATGTCCCAGAGCTTATGGGTGGGAAGCCAAAGAATGAATGGAACAGGAGAGGCCACAGGAACCCCAGAAGGAGGATGCCGTACCACCTGCCCTGGCTGGATGTGCCATTCCCAGCCTTCTCCCAGGGAACCAGACACCTCGTTCAAGAAAAGGGATGCAAAGACCCCCGGGATTGGGATCACCCCCTTACAGGGTCTGCTGGCCACAGGAGGACAGCATAATAGGACCCCTGGTGGGAGACAGGAACACAAAAGTGGGTAAATCCAGGTGGGAGGGCAGGAACCAGTTAAGGTTGGATGAACCCGGTCCGTCCCTTACACAGATCCTGAAAGCAGGAAAAAGCCCACTAGCATCAGCATAAAAGAAAGGCAGGGAAGGGCAGGCAGGGAAGGGCAGGCTGGGGCCGCTTCTGTGAGGTCCAGGGCTGCAGGAGGCCCAGGCAACTTCAGCACAAGCACAAAGCACTTCCACTTAATTGAAAGTGGTCCCCCCCGCCGCCCCCATGTTCTTCTCACATGCCAATCTTGCATGTGCTTCACTCTGGCTCTCACAGCAGGCCCAGGGCCTGAAACGGCATCATCTGAGGTTGCAAGGTGGCCCCTGAAAAGCTGTTCTGATCCCTGGTGATCACTCTTCTCTGTCTCGTCTCCACTCCCTTCTCCCTGCTTCTGCTCTGGATTTTTAGCACCAGCCCTGAATGCCAAAACCACCCCCAAGTTCCTGAGCCCTCCCCACAAAACAAAATCAGAGTGTGCTCGGCTGCATCTGCTGGGGCCTGGCTCTGTCTTCACACACATAGCAAGGGAAGCCTGATCTTTCCTTCCGTGAAGAATGCCCACATTTTGTATTCAACATCTGACCAGATCGGGGGAAACCTTGGGAACCCGTGGTAGCAGCGTTCAAGCCTTGGGTGAACTCTCAAGGTCTCAGGCCTGGTAAGCATCTCTTCTGGCCTCCATCCCAGGGGCAGAGCAAACATGGCAACCAGGGGTCTGTGCTGTCTTGGGACCAAGAGGAGCCATGGCTGGGCTGTGGTCTGGGTGTGTGGCTTTCTAGGCCAGGGCCCATCATCAAGCCAAACCCATCATTTCTCACCCAGCCTTGCTCCCATTGAAGCCAGGGGCCTTGGACCCGCCAGGGAGGAGAGAGAAGGGACCGGGTTGTGGGAGGGAGAATAGCAGGGGAGGAGGTGAAATGTGGGGGACAGGCAAAGAGAATTCCTACAAGATCCATCATCCTGGGCTGGTGGCCCTGAAGTTCACTGAGAAGCCAGGACAAACTCAAGAGTGGAGGAGCTCCAGTGTCCAATGGCCGCAGCCCATCCAGAGGAGGTTGCAGAAAACTAGGCTCAAGACGACATCGAGTCCTTTAGCCGTTCTGCAGATAGACTCTTTAACTAGCACTACTCAAGGACTTCCAGCCCTGCAAAATCCCATGGTGGAGCATTGGCTGTCTGCTGGTGCCTCATACGAGGCAGACGAAGGGCACAGCGGAGCTGGGGCTAGGGCCAGTGTGCACAGTGGAGGTGACGACAGGAAGACAAGGGTGGTGCTCGGTGGGGAAGAGCGGAGGCTCTATTCGAAGGACAGCAGGTCTGGGTGAGGACCTTCATTGTCGAGGCTGGAGGTCCGCGCCTGAGGAGGGGGGCTGCCCTCCCAGGACTCTGCCAGGCTGATGGGGCTCAAGCTGAGTTTGAGACCGTTCCTCTCGATGAGGCTGGGGGAGGAGGCCCTTCTGCACTCCGTCATCTTTAGCTTGGATTCGTCCTGGCCATCCTTGTGGATGAGGTCAGGTACTGACAGGGAAACCTCTCCATTGGGCAGAACTTCGCCTCTCTCTTCTCTTTCCATGGCGGCCTCTGACTGTGAAGCGTCTGCTGGGACGTCAGGCAGGGCAGTGGGAGCGGAGTCCTGGGCCTGCCCAGGTGATGGCTCTGTCCCGTACTCCAGACTGCTGAGGACAGGCTGTGATGAAATCAGCATGTCCTGGGTGGTCTTCAGGGCCCGAGGGGTTCGCTTTCTGGTTATGGGGGGTGGAGGATCCAGTCGAGGAAATGCTTCTTGCAGGACTGACCTGTAAGGTTAATGACAACAAACACACACAGCTTAAGGACAACAAGCCACCAGTCCACCTTCCTTCCTCTTCAACTGCAACTGCACCTTCAACCCACCCCTGCTAATGAGTGCTCTACTCCTTGGGTCTAGTTCTTGGTTTGGCATGCAGGTTTTAGCAACTACAGCACAACAGCAACTTTTGGCCTGGTCCATGCTCACTCAGTGCTCAGAGCAACACAAAATACTGGCCTCTGGAAGACAGGATAAAGACCACTGGTGAACTTTGTCAAATCAGAACCCATGCAATAAGGCCTGCGGAGGGCGTTCCCGCCTCAGATGCACAGGTGTTTAAAACAAGGCCTGGAAAGGGTCTGTTGGTAGGAGGAGGAAGAACAGGAGGGCTGCTACAGGGGCCTTCTCCTGCCCTGCCCCTGTGGGCTCTGACAGGCTCAGGTGTCTCCACAAGCAACAGTCTAGGGCAGCAGTTCTCAGCTATGGCCGGGCATCAGAATCTACCTGGAGAACTTCTGGGCAATACTTGGGTTCAAATCCAGCTGTGCCAAGTACTAACTTTGGGACCTCAAGCTATTTACTTTACCTGTCTGAAAATGAGGTATCTGCAGGATGGAAATATCATCTACCTCCCAGGGCTGCTGGGAGGGCTAGAAAAAATGATGCAACCGAAGCATGTGGCACAGAGCTGAGGACGTGGTGGGTATTCAACAACCTTCAGTAGCACAGAGCTGAGGACATGGTGGGTACTCAGCAACCTTCAGCTGCACAGTCCTGAGGACGTGGTGAGCACTCAGCAACCTTCAGCTGCACGGAGCTGAGGACATGGTGGGCACTCAGCAACCTTCAGCTGCACAGAGCTGAGGACATGGTGAGTACTCAGCAACCTTCCACAGCACAGAGTTGAGGACATAGTGAGTACTCAGCAACCTTCAGCTGCACAGAGCTGAGGACATGGTGAGTACTCAGCAACCTTCAGCTGCACAGGGCTGAGGACATGGTGAGTACTCAATAACCTTCCACAGCACAAGGCTGAGGACATGGTGGGCACTCAGCAACCTTCAGCTGCACAGAGCTGAGGACATGGTGAGTACTCAGTAACCTTCCACAGCACAGGGCTGAGGACATGGTGGGCACTCAGCAACCTTCAGCTGTGTCTGTGGAAGGGGAAGCCAGCTCCCGAGTGTGGCCTGATCCTGCAGCTTTTCTGTACAGGACAATCTCACACCCCTTCCTCGGGGCTGTTGTCCTGTGGAGACACTATAGTTTGTCCCTACACCTTTTCAAGTGGGTCCACAGAGGGCATGAGTATTTGGCAGGTGAGGGGTTTACCTTTCATCCTCCAGCCAGGCCCCTGGAGCCGCGTCAGCCCCGCTGGCCAGCTGCGCTCCTGCGGTCTTGTTGATCTCCGTCACGCCCACACTGCCCAGGCTGGAGGGCTCCTTTCTCCGCAGGAAGTCATTCACTTTGGCCCCCATGGCTTTGCCCAGGTTCTTGAGATGCTGGCTGCTGCCCACCCAGAGTCCCGCCCCCACAGGCTCAGCAGAGCCCAGAGGGGCAGAGCTGGGGGCCATGGGCTTGGACAGGTGGGGGAAGGAGCGGCTGGCCTGGAGCTTTGGAGTGAGGGCTGTGTTCAAATTCTCAAACATGCCGTGGTCAACTATGAACAAAGAGGGGACAGACAGACACGATGAGAAAAGGGGAGCAGGACCTGTGCCCTATCATTCAGCTTTCCTTATGCAAAGGAAACTTAGAACCAAAACTTAGAACCTTCCAAGGCTTTGGAAATATTCAAGAAAGAGCCAGCAAAGACACTCTTGAACTTTCCACTGCAGATGGCAGAAAAACTAGAAATTCTAGCTCTGCCCCACCCACGTTAATCAGACTAATGCTAGCCATAAAGAAATAAAATTGTCCCTTTAAGCCTGCCTCCTTGACTCATGGCTTGGCCCCTTTACCTTGGAATCACCAGGCCCTTTGAAGTAAAGAAAACATGAGGATGAAGCAATGAAACCTGCCGTTTTGATATCGCCCTCGGTACGTACTGAGCTCTCAGAGGGCTGGAAGCTGGTGGAGGGACGGCATGGATGAGGCTTGGTGTTAGATGCTCCCTACTGAAGGACACGAGTACAGCACATATTCTCCACGAAAAATGGGGCAGCCCCTCCTCAGGTCTACAGAGGTAGGACTTGAGCAAGTGGGCCAGCTCTTGCAGAGATGCTAAGCGGTGGTTCAGAATCCATACCTACCAAATGGATAGGTAATCGGTGCCAGTGAAGCACGAGGATCCTAATGAACATCAGCTCACTTAATCCTTACAACCCCCTGGGGAGGTGCTGCATGGAAGGATATCTACCTATAAATGAAGCAAGCGGGACTCCGCGTAATGCAGGGAGTGCCTGAGGTCACACAGCTAAATACTAGCAGGGCTGGAACTGGAACTCAGGCCTTCTAACCCACAGCTCAGGGTTCTGTCCACAGCTCTGCCCTGCTTTGGATCATGGAATAGCTGCCTATATATGTCTGGTACATGGTCCTTCTTGTAGGGATCCTCTTTGGCTTGAAAAATGAACTCAAAGAGCTGGGTATAAACCCGTTAGGTCATAAAGATTTGCAAGGAGGCCATGCCTCATTCACCTTTGTATCTTCAATGCCTAGCCTGGGTTTGGCACATAGCTGGTGCTCAGTACAGATCTTGAATCACCAACACCCATTTTGTAGATAGAAAACTGTGGTGGCCAAGATAGTAGCTTCAAAGTTTGTTACCGAAATGACTGGAGCGCCAGGCTCTAAGCCATGCTGTCCACACGCTCACACTTGGGCATCTTCTCCCTATCTGGAAATCCAGCTCAGTCATCAGGCAGCCAGACCTACTCTGAGGCCTTGGAACCTGGATCAAGGTTTCTGTCTATAACAACTACCCCAGATAAGTTGTCAGTCTGAGGGAAGGCGATTACCGGATCATTTGATCACTAGGCTCCTTTCCTTGTCAACACCTCTGCTAAGTGTCTATTCTCACTGAGCCTCTTCTGAGAGTAACTGGGGTTAGGGTGGTTTTTCTTCTGTTGAATTTTTGTGTAAAGCAGTTCTCTCTGCCCCGTGCTGCTGCATCCTGGGCCGGTGGCAACCTTTTTTGTGGTTTCAGTGGCTCTATCCTTGCTAGGCCAACTACCTAGATACGCCACATTCTAAGGGCCTTTGGGTGGCAGGGAGGAAAAGCTGTGGGAAGAGGAGCGAAGACTGCTCTCTGCAGATGAGCCCTGTGATCTTCACCACTGCAAGGTGAGGACAGGCCAGAGAACACTATGACAGGATCCCTTGGACACAGGACCTGAGCTGGCTGGGCTCCAGATAGACCCACCACTCTAGTAGAAGCTTCCAGCCTGCTCCACAGCAAGCAGGGTCAACTCCTGATGATTCTCCTAAGTGCGTATCTTGCCACATCATCCAATTTGGCACAATTTGCCTGTCAGGTCCCACATCGTTCTTATTTTCTTTAATCACGTCATCGCAAACTAGCAAAGAAGATTTGGAAACCAAACCATTTAACTATATTCTCCCAAACCAGAAAGTATATAGACCATAATGAAACCATACAAAATGCTTGGGGAAGGCAAATTGCCACCACTTCCCAAATCAGACATTTCCTTGCTGGCTTCCTTACTGGTTTAAAGTGAATTTTTGGAGCAGACATATTCGTTTTTAAAAAGGCCAGCACCAAAAACACCTGCCAAGGTGATTCGTAAATTATGAGCTATTATTTTTAAAAGACTCTTAGTAACAAACGTAACTCTGGATTATGCACCATTTTGGATTTCCTGTATTTTTTGCTCTCTATCCTTCATAACATAGTCTATAAAATGCACTGAATTCTCAAGTAATTGAAAGATAACCTATCATGCACTCCCTTTACACTTGTCTAAATCTTTCCAGTAAATACACCTTGTCTTAAAATGGTAAGCTCCTTGAGAGGCCACAGCATCTGAAGTGTTTCTTCATCTTCCACAATGCCTAGCTTAGGGTCTTATATGATAGAGCCTTTAGTAGCCATTTAATAAGTTTGTTCAACTAAATTTGACTTTTCTATGAATTCTTAAAATGTGCGTGATGGGCTGGCATTGTAGGGAAACTGCTCACAAGTCTTTCTCCGTTTATAAAAGCCACTCAAAACCTCCTCTATGGTAGTGGTCTTCAGGGGCTCTTGAGGTTAGACCAGGAGAACTGGTGAAAGTGGAAGTGGGGCTCTGGCTGGGGGTCACTTTATCCCCATATCTGAGGATGTGCAATGGGTCCCTTTCTTGATGATGGCTCTAATGACCCCCACACATTGTCCCTCTTGCCTTTGGACTAGACGCTTGGTGGTTCAGCAAATAATGGCAATGGAGGAGAGATGACTGCACCCCAGCCAGGCGACCCTCCCAACAGCCCCCGCCCCCAACATGCATACAACTCAAGCAGAGGAGGGCATCTGGGGATGTAAGTCATCCACAAAAAATAGGATATCTTACCTGTCCGAGAAAGGAGCTCAGAAAGCAGGTGGGAAACAAACAAGAGAAAGACACATTTTACGTAGTGACCAATCGCTTTGAGAGTGTCACCTCCTGCCTGGGCCACCAGCAGCAGCATACCTCGGGAGGACATAGCACGCAAGACAAGGGCCCTGCTATGAGGAGTGGTGTGCACCCTGAACCACCAGGCTCCCACAAGCTTATCAGTGACTAAATCAAAACAGGGTCATATTTTAAACTCTACACAGGCACTGAGAGACTCCACCTCCCATATTTCCCGCCAGTATTTTTAGCCCCCTTTACATTAGATTTGAGGTTCCAGTGGGAGAGTCTGAAGTTGGCAGTGGGAGAAATGTGATGGGTTAAGACAGAATGCAGTTCTAAGTCCTGGGGGTCCTGTGTGTGTCACTCACAGGGATGCTACTGTCCACATGTAAATCACTGGGCTTTAGCCAGGAAGACGTGTGTCCACTCCAACTTAGTCTAAAGTGATAATATGGGAAAACCAAGTGGCAGAGAGGTTTGAACAATGTCACACAGGTAGCTCATGGCAGAGGGGGATTAGAAGTCACATAAGCCGATGCCCATACTCTCAAGCTTTCTCTACACCATAATGGCTAAAATAAAATTGCAGATGCCCCCCAAATTGCCAAAGTATGAGGCTTCAATTTACTTTCCAACACATCCTAATGTTCCAAACCAGGCCATGGGGGAGGAACATGAGGGGAATCATGCTCTCCCCATTGTCGGCCGACTGTTCCAGTACTGTGAGTAAATACACACAGGAAGACAACTCTGGGCTCTCATATGCAGAAGCTAACTCACACTCCACTCATGCATGCTCAACACCACTGCAAAAGAAGCTCATCACTATTTCCAGAGCGGGCCAGAGCTCCCATGCAGCATAAACATACCTGCCATTTAGATCCGCAGCCCTTTTCTGTATCTAGTTGACATGTTGTGATAATCTAGAAAGGGGCACCTTCAGCTTAGCTTCCAACTGTCACAGTCATCTTCACCTTATTCCACACCTTGCCAGTGCACAAGGTTGTTATAGGACAAACGAAACAGAGAGGTGACCTTGCTTCTCTGGAGTCCCAGAGTCTCCCCATCAAACTGACTTAAACAACGAGCAAAACAGTATTGAGTAAGCCACTCATTTGTGTTTTAGTCACTTGCTAAAAAGAGCACCAACCACTGAAAATAATATTTGGTCTTTATTCTTAAGAAATGCACATAGGGCCGGGCGCCGTGGCTCAAGCCTGTAATCCCAGCACTTTGGGAGGCCGAGGCAGATGGATCACAAGGTCAAGAGATAGAGACCATCCTGGTCAGCATGGTGAAACCCTGTCTCTACTAAAAATACAAAAAATTAACTGGGCATGGTGGCGTGTGCCTGTAATCCCAGCTACTCAGGAGGCTGAGGCAGGAGAATTGCCTGAACCCAGGAGGTGGAGGTTGCGGTGAGCCGAGATCGCGCCATTGTACTCCAGCCTGGGTAACAAGAGTGAAACTCTGTCTCAAAAAAAAAAAAAAAAAAAAAAAAAAAAAAGAAATGCACATAGAAGTACTTAGGTGTAAAAGGACATAGTGCTTATGACTTACCTTCAAATAGTCAGAGAAAAAATTAAGTATACACACACACATAGGGCAGGGAGTAGGGGGAAGGGAACTGATAAAGCAAATGGGATCCAAGGTTAATAGGAAAATTTGCATACAGGGCATACGGGTGTTCTTTGTATTGATTTTATTTTTGCAACTTTGGAGACGGAGTCTCACTCTGTCACTGAGGCTGCAGTGCAGTGGCGTGACCTTGGCTCACTGCAACCTGTCTCTTGGGTTCAAGCGATTCTCCTGCCTCAGCCTCCTGAGTAGCTGAGATTACAGGTGCCTACCACCATGCCCGGGTAATTTTTATATTTTGAGTAGAGATGGGCGTTTCACCAAGTCGGTCCAGCTGGTCTTGAACTCCTGACCTCAAATGATCCACCTGCCTTGGCCACCCAAAGTGCTGGAATCACAGGCCTGAGCCACTGCCCCCAGCCTCTTACTGCAACTTTTATGAATTTGAATTTCTGAAGAAAATGTGAAAAAATATATAAACCTTAAAAAACTAAACCAAAACAAATATATTTGCTGACAGAAATTAGGT